TTGGGGTCTGTTTGCTCTGTTTTGTGTTGCTGCTTTTGGTGTCGGTTTTTTGGTTGTTTCGGTGAGCTTTGCTTCTGGTCTCAAGACCAGAAGGCTAACTGACCCTGAGATCTCATAGGATCCTCTTTGCTTGATTCTTTCTTGGTTGATTGCGTGTTTGTTGATGGTCGAAGTTGGCTTTTGTTGGATCTGGAGTTTTGCTTGGGATGGACTTGGTTCACCTCTGGATTGATGGCATGAGATCATCTTTGAGGACAAGAGTATGGATCTTAGTTGATGTCTGATCCTCAATTGCTCAAAGAAAACGAACAGAAGAAGAGAAGAAGATGGAAGAAGACAGGAGGTAGCGCTTTGCGACCCAAGAAGGGGTGTGAAACATAGCGTGCAGCGTGCGTGCGCAGTGTATGGCTCACCTGGTGCTTGCTTCTTTTGGGTTTTTTGTTTTCAAAGTGCTTGGGGTTGGAGCTGAGTGGAGATCTTTGTCCTTTTGATGTTTGACCTTCGACCACCTTAGCAGGAGGATGTTTGAAGTGGCAACTTGTGGCTAGGATTGCTTAGAGAACCTTGTGGTAGAGCACGATGTTTTTGGAGAATGTTTGAGATAGTTCTTTGTCGTTTTGTGTGGCTTTGAGATGACTGTGAATAGTCTTTGACTCTTTTGAGGAGTGGACAAGCTTAAGAGAAGCTTTGAGAACTTTTGAGACAGTCTCCACCGACTGTGACTTTGGCTCAAGGAGCGGGATCGCAAAGGGAAGCTTGTGCTGCCGTGTTTTCACACATGGAGCACAGCTTGACTCATCCGCAGATGACATTGAGCCCACTCCCCGAAGAGTGACCAGTCGGTGTGCCTTGGCACCCCCCACTCAGCGTGTTGATATGGGGCAGCTTCTCATGCCCGACCCTCGTTTGTCTGTGCGGACATTTGGGCAATCGTGCGGTGTCTCTGGATGCTCCGGGACCACGTTGTGCGGGACCTCACCTTGGCATGCAGAGAGCAAAACGTGTTGCAGCGAACCTTGCCCACAAGAACTTCCCACGCAGCTTTGCTCTGGCGGTCCAAGCTCTGGAGTTCGCTGCGTTGTGTTGTTCCATTTCACGTGTCCTGTCTTTTCTTTTTGGGATGATCAGGTCGGTTGCAATCTGAAAACATCCATGGCAACCAACATGCACAAGCAACAGAACTGGTGAAGACCTTATAAGTTGTTGTGCCGCATCGTTTCTGTGGACAGCACCCCATCAACCACATCTGGCGCGTTTTGCATGTCGCATTTGTTGAGCAGGACAGACAGATGCCGCCCAACAGGACTTGGCAAATCACTTGATGCTCACAAGTTTGTCGCGATGTGCGCTTCTCAATGACTGTCCACTTTGCCGTCCCTCGGATGTTGGAGCCGACATTCCAGGAACTGCGCCAAGCTCAGCTGCTTCCTTTGCAATTCATACACCCAGCTTCGTTTCACACTGAATGAGTTCAAGTGCACGGAGAAAAAACCCCGAGAGATCTACAGGATTTCCTGGTCTGGTCGGTCTTGTGCTGTTTTTTGTGCGTTTTTTGTTTTGGTGTTTGGGTTTTTGTTGTTTGCTTGTTGGTGGTTTTGGGTTTTTGACCACAGGAAATCTTTAATCTCTTCAGTGGCTGACTTTCGCATTTTCTGCGATGACTGGCGGCAACATTCGTGCAAAAAATGCTCGGATCAAAAGTGGGCTGCTGGTGGTATCAACTCACTTGAAACATACACCAACACACTCTACCAAACCTTCCCCACACTACAGGGATTCCCGTTTTCACTTTCGCAAAGGGCACCCCCTCCCAAACCTATGTATTCAACTTTCGATTTCCACTCTTTCTCAAACGACCGCAATATCAACTTCACTCCTTCCGGCTACTCTTTGTCCTATATACATACATACAGTATAGATATCCTCACGAGGCCTGCCGATGCCCTCGCCCATAGGCCCCCCACAACCATCTTTGCTCACTGATTAGCGACACGCAGCAGGCAAACGCACATAATACACCTCAGGGGTGCCTTTTCACCTCCAAAACGCCCCCGAGCCAGGACGAAAAGACCACCCCCCCAAACCGACGTATTCTACTTTGTGTTTCTACCCCCCACCAGGGTGACTGCAACTTCACCTCATACAAGTAATCTTTGCCTGATGTTCGCCAATCACTTCATCTTGCACGCTCAAGTCGCTGCAATATCAACTTCGCCACTTGGTCACCACTTCCAGCTCATCTTTGCTCACAGATTCGCAACACACAGCAGGCAAACGCCCCTCACTTCTTTAAGGATCCCTTTTTCACCTCCAAAACGCTCGACGAAAACAGGAAAGTACTCTTTCCCCGATATTGCCCAATCACCTCATCTTGCACGCCAAGGCTTTGACTCCATCTACACAACGGGTGGGTCGTTTGAGTGATCAGTGCATTCCCGCAGACGTGAAGGAATGCCAAATTCATCAGCTCAGAATAAAGCTAGTCAGAGAGAACTCAGAGTTTTGCCAGTCCAGACCAAGGTGCAGACTTCTTACCCTGGCAGAAGCGGTACATGGACCAGTACCAAATGGAACTAATCTCCGAATCGACAGCGATTTTGACAGGGAGAAAAAAAATAGTGAAGAACGACGGAGTGCATTGGCACGGACAGTCAACTTGCAGATTGTCTAACAAAGTCTATGCAGCCAGACTACTTGCTCGGAGTACTGGTCAGCGGTGAGGCAATGATCAGTGGAATCGAGACCTGAGAGCTAGATTTTTATTTTTTTTCTGGTATGTGAATCTTTCACCAATAATTGGAATCGTTAAACCCAATGCGTAACCTTTAAATGGACAAAGCACTGCCTAGACGACCACGTGTCAAACCTGTAGATCAAACGGGTGTGATTGTATCCTTTTGTTCGAGCCTTGTACAGCTGCCATGACACGTACTGGAACTTGGGCTTAAGCTGAGGGCCCTTGAGCCAGTGGAGACGAAAAATCAGATAGTGTCGACCTAGTTTCTGACCATGCTGTCTGAAGGTATTGTTAAGCCGGGAGTGTAGATGTTTCACCCTTGTTGTTTCACTGTGTTCCTTAACCCTACACAACATTTGGCAGGCAAAAAATATAATGTACTTGCTTGCAGCTACCCAAAAACTTGCAAAAAAGGGTTGTTACTTGAATTCTGCGTGCAAGCGTTGTTAGCAACAAAACAGTTTTTCCATGTTTTTCCCATTGGTTCTGAAGTTTTGAGACTCTAGACTCTAGACTTTCAATCCAGTGCATTGCCAGCGCATTGGGATCATTTTGGGAATGTTTTTTTGCTGTTATCAACAACTCGTTGGGGTCGAACTCGTGTATGATGCACAGATCGGATGGGGACCTGAAAGGGTTCCTAGTAAACGTTTTCGCTTGTGTTTCGATGCTCGCTGATTGGTGACTTGCAGCTGAAACAATTTTGTTGGCAGTTGTGAGCAAGACATCGATGCAAGTGACCGCACGTGCCAATTGAGTTGCGAAGGAAGTGAGGGGCGTTGGAGCGGTAGGTGGAGGGAAACATTTCTCTTTGGGTTGTGGGAGTTGTCCGAAATCTGCAGCTTTGGCTGAGCATGATCACCAACAGTCTTTCCGTGCACTTGCCTCAACAAGCAGTCTTTCTGTTTAGCGAATCCCCAGCAAATTTCCGTAGAATATAGCATTTTCTGGTCAATATTTGGATGCAGTACCGAAAGCGGAATACAAACACATCGATTCGTCAAGAAGGTTAAACCATCCCTTGTTATCACATCGTCCACTCTTCTTTTCTGCGACCCCTGCCGTTGACAGCGGTCATTGACATGGTGATTTTGGTTCGGGAGACCGGGTGTTGCCATGGATGTTGGGCGCTTTTCCGAGGGCCGTCGGAGGGGAAGAGCAACGAAGGACACGAGTTACGACTGTGGGGACCTCGTTCAAAAGGCCAAGTTCAAACGTTGGTCGCAACATAGCAACGTTGCTCGAATGACTTTCATTGCATTCTGAAACAGGTTGCGGGTTGTTCTTTTTTCTCGGGGCAACGTTCGAGAGAAGGGACAGAAGTGTCGGAGATTGATCAACAGTTTTTAATGCAAGGACACCATGCCGTTGTTGTCCAAGAGAGTGCGGAGCTGACGGAACAAACCCAGCCTGTGGAGCCGCTGTTGAGCTTGGAGGTCCCGGGAAGGATTTGGTGTTAATGCATGGCGAAGCAAGTCAATGTGAAGCAAAATGTAAAACCAATACACGACCATACAGATGGATTCGATGTGGTGTGATGGATTTTCTGATTTGTGAGTTAGATGCACCTAAAGAATCTGAGCGACCACGCGACCATTCACAAGTTGCACAAGATCGGATTCCTGTCCAACCTGCCCGGGCTATCCCGGCTGATCGCCAGGCTCGGATCGCCGCGCGGCAGGACGATGCAGAGAGTTTGGAGCTGCTCACAAGTGTGTTGAGGTGTGGTTGGGCAGGGGATGGTGGGATTGGCCTTGGTGGCTCAGGTTGGGCATTTTTCTGTTTAGAATCTTGGTTTGATTCCAATTGGGACCACCTTGTTTTTCTTGGACCTCACCCAGATGTGCCGCCTGCGAATAATATCGACCAAGGTCATTCCACACCAGAAGGCGATGCCATCAGATGAAGGTACTGTAAATGATTCCTCACAGGTTTAACATTCAAGTATTTGCACATGTCCCGTTTTTTCCTGTGTTTTGTTCCGATGTACGTCCGTTGGGCTGTTTCCCCACACCGCCATCGGTGTGTGTCAGGCGCTCCATCCGTGGGCTCGATGAGCAGGGCCGCAGCTTGCTCTTCTACGCGGTGCGTGGAAACCGCGACGACGGAGGAACGACCTGAAGCGGTGCATGGTGCATGCCACGGACACGGACACCTCTTTTTGGGGCCTTTTTTCCGGGGAGATCAGAGACTCCGGGCTCGGCCTCCTGGTCATCTCTCACGGCGGCAGGCAAAGCGCAAGCCTCGGCCGCGGCGGTCGCAAAGAAGCTGCTAGGCGCGGCTGCTCGGCGGTCTTCCGCTCCGAGGTCGTTCAGATGAAGGAGGGTCCTTGCACTCGAGTTTGGATGGATCTGCTGCTGAAATTTGCAAGCCCAGGTGATGCGGCTCAGTGGGATGAAGTGCCCAGATACCTGGTGAAGAGGAGGGGAGTTGGTGGTGGTGGAAGCACTGATTGCTTGGAAGTGGAGGTGAGGGTGCGCAGCTTGCCAGCGGTCCCTGGGAGTTCTACACAGGCTACCAAGTCATGGAGTTGAACGAGCACGTTGTCCAAGTAGGTCCTTCTGCTCCTTCTCCTCGGACACCTCATGACACCTCATGACACCTCACCTGAGCTGCTGAGGCCCAGTAGAGGAACCCATGACCATGCTGAGTTTTCTTCAGCAGCTTCATCAGTGTACTGGTTTGATGTTTATCCGTGTTGATTGATTTTTAGTGATGTGGTGACGTGTGACTGCAACAATTTTTGTTGCTTCGGTTCATGCATGTTGCTGTGCACATCATAGGTAAAAGACTAACTCGAATACATCCATGAACAATATGTTTCTGCAAAAGGAAACACAAACACACGACTTGAGTTTTGGTGGTATCACCAACCGAAGACATGGCTTGGAAGCCCCAAACGAGTGATGCGATGTATTCTAGACATGAAGATCAAAACATATATGTAGTATCAGTAGCATCCCTTTTTAGCATTGCTGGAGCGCTAGGTTTTGCTTGAGTGACTACCGAATTGAGCTAGTCCCCATACACTTCCGCTCGTTGCTGGGAATGTGGACTTCTTGGCTCCCATTTTCACTCGTAGTTGTGGACGTTCCCTCCTCCCCCCACAACTACTAGCGGTGAACCTTTGTCTCACCGCTGCGCCGATGGTGAGACACCACTTCGATGTGAACTTTCAAGCCCAGAAGACGGGCTTCACCCCTCTGATGGAGGCCCGCCGGTCGACCGGCCGGTCAGTGGAGTCAAGTGGAGTGATGACACCTGATGCGATTCCGGAACGCGGGGGGATGCGGTTTGCTTGGAGTTGTTTTGGTTTGAGTGCTCTCCTTTCTTCTTTGAACATGGTGGAGGATCCTTGTCAACCCCAGAAAAAGTCTGCTACCTTACCACTGGGCCACCGCCACCCGAAGGAAAAGAGCGCACGGTTTTTAAACTCGTGCCCCACGCGCCGCACTGGGCACTCGTGCCCCACGCACCTGTGGCTTTTGCCCACGGTCCCGACGCGCCAGGCCACTCGCTTTGGAAATCTCTTCGGCGTGGAGCTGCTCCTAGAGCTTCGTGCGGATGTGAACCTGCAGAGCGTGCGAGGAGCGCGCGCGCCACACGCGCGTGGCAGGTGTGGTAAGCAGGGGGTGGCACGGTGTGGTGGGACGCGGGAAGGGGCTACGTGGCATAGGGGTTTATGGGGGTTAGAGGGAGTGGAGCCTGGTGGCAAGATTGTTTGCAACAGTCCTCAACTGGCTGAAACTTTGTTTGCTAAAGAGTACCGTCCACCCTGCAGGAAAACAGCAGGAAACCCAGAAGCAAAACGAAAGAAACAGGACGACGCAGATAGAAATCACAAACGAAGAGGATAAGATCAAGGCACGCAGCAAAGCACATGGGGTAAAATCGGTAAATCATACTTTTTAATCCGTCTTTTCCGGACCACCCGCGCGTTAAGAGCGGTAAACAATGTTTTTTTTTTTTTTCATTTTTGACTGTTTGTTTTTTTTTCCGGATTGGGTTGGTATTTTGTTAAACTATAAGTCTATAAGTGCGTTGCAAAGCTGATTTTGTGTTGACACCGTTCCTTTTTCTCCCGTTTCTTTTAAGGATCCGCACGATCATCCTTTGTTCCGGGTGGCATGGCCATGGTTGTACGACATTTGTATTTTGTTAAAGAAAAACCGCTCGGGTGGCACGGTCTTTTTGGTACGACCTTGCGGTGGAAAACGTCAGCTTCGTGGGGGATGAACCAGTCAGCTTCGTCTCTTGTGAGGAGAGACGGCGCTGGACGTGGCGCGGGCCAAAGTGCTTGAGCACCTCGACTTTCAGGCCTGGAGCCTCGGAGCGTGGTGCAGGTTCGACATGGATATTTAAGAGGACCCATGTCGAACCGGTTGGGTTTGTCTATTGCTTCGGTTTTTCCCAAGAACTGCGGAGTTTTTGGGGGGTCATGTATGGTTGAGGCCTTCTTTTTTGGAGCCCTGGGTCATGGCCAGCTACTGAAGAGCTACCATGCATCCTCCATGTCCTCAGCTTTCTCGCAGCCGCACCGCTGACAGCATGTGCCATCCGTCCATCAGGAGATGCAGTGCTCGGAGAACCGCCTGGAGATGGTGAAGGAGGGGAGAAAGATGGAGGAGGAGGAGGTTGTAGGAATAGCGATTCCCATCTCAAGCGGACATGAGACATGTTATACAACACGTGTAACATGTTCATCCAGATGAACCTTTCCCAATGAGGACCCATGTCCAGCTTTCTGTTCTTGATTTTTTTGTTGAGGATCGGGTGGAGAGCGACAAGCTGCGGATCGCTGATCTTTTGAGGAACGCGTGAGGAAAACAGGGGCCTTGCCGTTGGGACAGTGGAAGGATTGGCCTGGAAAACACGCAAGCTGCCTAGTCTGGTGAGTGGCAAAACTCTTTGGGCCGTGGAGTCTTTTCTTCTTTTCTCCGTGAACTCACGGATGTAGACTTGGTTTGAAAAGAACAAGGAATCCCATTCAAGAGTCCATTTTCCACCGCTTCACCTGGTTTCGTCCTCACCTTCGTGTTCGATGGTCTCCATGGATGGCGCTACAGGGTGAGTGACACGGGTGAGGTATCTAAAGCTGCTAAGAAACGAAATCCACTTTCTAGGAGTGGCATACCCCATGTGAGCGATACACACTTCAGTTTGTGGAGTTCGAAATCGGCCATTGAAGCACTTCCAACAAGCAAAATTTATGGAACGTGAGAGGACACTGGCACTGGCACGTTGGACACCTCTTTGGACACCTCTTTGTACCACCAAAAGTTCGCCGTTGGAAAGCCCCGGAGCTTGGAGAGTTTGGCTGCACTCCCTGACATGGAAGTGGATGGCACCACCTGTTTGTAGAGGAAAATGGTCTTCTACGGGGTCATGCCATCCACTTCCATGATTATTTTAGGGAACGTACCTTTTTGTGCAAGAAAACGCGTGCAAGCTTCAGCTTCAGCTGAGCTGGCAGCTAGCCCTTGCTGATCCTCTCAAAGGCACCTGCTGGCAAAAGTGAATAGGCTGTCCTGACTTTGGTTTGTATTTGATTGTTGGAAATGGACGACTGAATTCAGGTGAAATCTTCCTTCCAACCTGTCAACCTGTGTATTTTGATGTCCCGATTCACCACCTAAGACGTGCAGTTTGATGCTCGATGTGCTGTGATGTTTTTCAGCACCGACGTATTTCAGACATGTCACGGACAGAAAGTCGATAAAGTCCACCCAAACTGGAGCTGACCTTCAAACAGGTAAAAGAAAAAGGCAAGGTTTCGAATCAGCCCGGATGGTTTCCAGGAATTTGGGGGATTCCACTCCAGCTCGATTGGCACAGGGACCACGGGTTGGGTTTGTAGATTTTGTAGCACCTCGGTCCCAGAAAAGAGAACCTGTGTAGACATCCGTTTTTGGAGAACAGTGCCTCCCAGGTTCCGTAGCACCCAAAGCAGACTTTCTCTCTGCCTTTTTCTCCAAAACCCAACCGCTCGGCGCGCCGTGCACGGCCCCACCTGCCATGGACCTGGCGTTACCGCCATGGACTGGGCGGGTCGTCCAGACGGGGCGCCCCACGTTTGGACACGAGAGTGTGGAGGCCTCGTCTTGTGGAAGCATGTTTGGTGAACGGCTTGATTTTTGAGCCCCAACTCGGATGGCCAGAACGCTGACAAGCGCCATGTGTGTGAAGCCATGTTTGTGGCGAAGAGTGGAGGAAGACCGGAAGATTTGCACCTCAAAGATCGGCGTTACATTGCGCTACATGGTCAACTGCAATGATGCTGATCAAGCAGAGCTAGTCTTGTTTGGAAACGAAACACCAAAGGAAGGGTGCCAACCGAGTGCTTGGTGTTGCCAACCGATGACAGCCGGTGACGCTTGCGGAGATAGAAACAAGGTCATTTGATGCTCCCAAGTGGGTTATGACATGTTTTTTCTCCCAGGTGGGGTAAAGTGAGTCATTGGAAGCTCTGGGTTTGCAAAAGTGATTCCACTCGCCCCATCTGACAGATCCCAGCGCCGTGGCACACTCCGGGCGACGCGAACCGTGTGCGGCCCCGGCCGTGGCCTCTGTGGCCCCTGTGGCCTGCAGGCGGGGGATGCGTCACCCGAAGCCTCGAACACAACAGAGGTGCCAGATGATGCCAGAGTTGTTGGGCCATGTCCTGCCGATTTCTGATCTTTCGTCTGGATTTCGTTCTTGGAACGCTCACCCAAAACCCCGCCCTTCCCACCATGGAGCGCGCCCCTTGGTGCGACTGGCGCCCTCAGCTACGTAGGCCTCGCCGCCGCCGCGACCCGCCGAAGGCGGCCGCGCGTGCCTCGGTTAGGTGGCCTTCGGACACCCGAAGCGGGTGAGGATGCCTGGTCTCGAAGTTGTTGAAAGGTATCTTTTTGAGGATCTTTTGAAGATCTGTGATGAGGGAAAGCAGGGTAGTATGAGAGTAGAGGTGAAAGAAGTTTAGAGGGATCTGGATCTGGACGTCACCCAGCAAACCGTGGCAAACCGTGGCATGCCACGTTGGTTCATGAGTCCAGCCAGACTGGTGAAGAGTCCAGCCCCAAGTTCTAGACCGATGACCGAGAACACCCTACTGTTTGGGGTGCGGGATCTTGCCACCCATCAACACCTATCGGACCTATCACCCAGACAGCCCAGACAGGTCAAGTGACTTGAGTCAAGTGGTTGTGGTTTGGAGTTATGACATCGCAGTCTCCCAATCTCCAGCACACCCATCGTTTTGGGGCTTCCAGTTCCGCGGTAGACCCGGTCGATTCTCCCTTAAGCCAATCCATTGATCCTGACGTAGACTGGTGGCCAACCCTCCAAGATGGCGATGAGACTGGTGCCATGAGGTGCTCAGAGCAGCCTCAGCAGCAAGTGCAGGCGCGCAGGCAGTACTGGTGAAGGAGGAGGAAGTGGAGAAGGACTCTAAGCCAGAGGCATCAGATTCGCGGCCAGAAAAGCCCGACGAGCATCAGCTCATCGTTTGGCTGGTGGCGGCTGCGTCTCCTGGAGAAGGATTAATAGAAGAGTTCGTGGTGGAGTCAATGCAGTGTCTAATTATAGTGTACATTGCACAGATGGGGGACGTGTCACCCATGTTGCAGAGTGTGTTGTGTTTTTGAGTTGATCAACATGCAGTGTCTTTGGCCACCGAATCCCCAGCACTGTCTTTGGGCCCCACCACTGAAACTCGGCATGGTGGGGCAAAGCGCCATGGTGAGCCTGTCTTTTGGTCCTTCTCCTTGTCGCGTCGAATCTCTTCATCCTTCGGATGCTGAAGAGCTGAGCTCCATCACTTGGAAAGGGTGACCCGACTGGTAGCCTGGTAGACTCGACCTCGTTGTTGAGGTATGTGATTTGGCAGATGGACAAGGTGAACATGTCGGTGGCCATCCTACCGATGGCCTCGGACTTCTCCTGGGACAGTGGGGAGCAGGGCTTGATCCAAAGCTCCATTTTCTGGGGCTATGCGGCAACACAAGTGGTTGGCGGCCTACTCTCCACCCGCTTCGGTGCCTTTGGTTGGGATATCAGAGGAGGAATGTGGAGGAGTCCAGGGATGGTCGAGATGAGACATGTGCATGGTTTTGGGAGATTGTGAACATGGGAAGGAAGTACAGCTTCTATCCCTCAACAGCTCATAGACCACCAACATGCCTGGGGCGGCTGTTTCGTATCACACTGGCCGTCATTGCCCCGCAAAACACGAGTTCGAATTATGCCTTGCTTGCCTTTAAGCCCTTTCACCTCCACTTACTTGCACTATTTTCGTCCAGAACCTCCTGAATTAAGCCTTTTCGGCTGCAAGACAAGAGGAGTCCCACCTCAAGCCAAAAGGTTTTCACTGATTTTTTCGAAAGCACCCAGCCTTTTATGCCATAGCCATCTAACCCAGTGCAGAATTCACTGGAGAGATTGGGCAGCGGGTCCTGCTGTCTCAGGTGGCAAACGGGTCCTTCTCTTTGCGGTGACCTTATGGTCTTGCGCTACCATGCTGGCTCCCTTCGCGGCCTCACTGGGCACTGAGGCCGAGAGGGCGCAGGTCGTCGGTCGGTGCACATGGACCAGTTGCGCCGAAGTTTCGACGATGTGATGCGAACGGAAACTTGAAATCAATTTATTAAGTAATGGTTTATTAATGTTTATTAACCAATGTTCCAAATGTCAACAGATTTCATAGCATGGTCCCCCCGCATCATCCTCGGACCAATCGCAGTGCTTGTTGTGGACCAAATGCCACAGGCCAATCCAGGACCTTCGTTCCAAAAGTCCTAAGGGCTACCCCCCCGGCCAAGGGGGTTCTTCACCACCCTCGTCTGTCTTCGTAGGCCTTCGTGCTCTCGCGCGCGCTCGTGGGCATCGGCGAGGGCCTGGCGCCGGCCGCGGGCCTGCGAATGGTGGCCACGTGGGTCCCGGAGGCGGAGCGCTCGCGGGCGGTGAGCACGCTGGGCGCGGGGAAGACTGGGGGTTCGATCCTGGGACTGCTGCTGGCGCCGGTGGTGATTGGCAGCTTGGGCTGGCAGGTGGGGTGGAAGAAACAGGGGGGAAGGGAGGGTGAGAGAGAGGTAGAAAGTTGATGAAGGAGTTGAGAGGAGGCTGAGAAGGATGAGCTCGAATCATGGAGCCTTTCTGGGGATTGCCACAAAACCGGGGGTTGATCGCGGCAACATGTGTGACATTGTTTGAATCATTTTCATCCTTTGGGACAGTTCGCTTGACTCTGGCCATTTGCTGCAGTCCATGTTCTATTCCTTTGGTGTGCTGGGGCTCTTCTGGGCGGCTGTATGGCTCCTGAAGGGTGAGGATAAGCCCGGCAGTGTGGGCGAAGGCACGGAGGAGATCCCATGGTGGCCGATCTTATCGACTCCGCAGCTCTGGGGCGTGGTGGTGGCGCACTTCTGCCACGACTTCGGCGGCTACGCGCTGCTGACCTGGACGCCCACCTATTTGAACAAGGAGAAGGGGAAACCGATGAAAAACATACACTCCCTGAAAGAATCGTAGGCCAACGTGGATTGCATGGCCCCGAACGGATGACCATTTTCGATCACGAAGCAGGTGGTGCCATCTTCCATGTTTAAACGACTTGGAGAGTAGAGTAGAGTCTTGATAAACAAAACCAATCAAGAGTCTGAACACCGTCATTCGCACAGAGATGAGGCATGCCTAGTAGTAGTAGTAGTAGTAGTAGTAGTAGTAGTAGTAGCAGGAGTAGTAGTAGTAGTAGTAGTAGCAGGAGTAGTAGTAGTAGTAGTAGTAGTAGTAGGAGTAGGAGTAGTCGTAGTCGTAGTCGTAGTCGTAGTCGTAGTCGTCGGTACATTCTTTTTGGGCATGCCTGATGTGTACTCCCGGAGGGATCGGTTTTGAGTCTAGAGTCTCATGATGTCTCATGGACACACCTGCCTCCCTCGACTCTTCTTTTTTCGTTTTGGAGATCGTTCCTTCTTTTTCATGCCGCCTCTGAAGAAACTCCACTTTTCGTGACTCCCAATTAGAAGTCTTTGCCGCACCAGCTCAGCAATCTCCTCCGTGGAGAAGAAACCATTGCGGCATCACGCGCGTCTGGTATTTGACGACACCGGTTTACCGATTGACACCGGTTTACACCGGTTTACCGACTGCGCGCAGCATAGGAGAGGTCCATGGCAACAAGGGTTCGGCCCGTCCAAGGTCCAAGATCAATTAGTTTTGCTTTTACTCTGGTCGTCTAGTATTGTGTCAAGGCCTATGTTCACATCCCATTTCCACCCCCATGTCCATTCAAGCCAATGGTTCCTCAAGATCGTCAATAGTCGGGGTCGTTGTTTTTGCAACCTCGTCGGTCTGTAGTCTTTTGAAGGGTTGTCGGCCATTACGCCGTATAACAAAGACAAACGACACTCAGAGATACTTATATATAGCTAAAGCTGTTGTACACAGATGAGAAACGATGCCCTCTTGATGGCAGCCTTCCCAGAACATCACATGATTTCGCTTTCGAAGACATGATAGAACGACTACACACCGCAAATCGTAAACATCTCTAAACCCAGCAAACCTGTAAAACCCCGGAGCCCAAATCCTCCTAGCTGCGCCCGATGAGATGAAAGGTAGTCTCTTCTGTTCCAGACTCGGTCGTTTCCACCCTGGTTTCCCCCGGGTGCCATGCCCAAGCCTTTGCCATCTCACCACACGAAAGGTAGGACCCGACCCACCACCTACCCACCAGACCCGAAACGGTCCTTGTGCACCAGGCCTTGGGGTACAACCTGGTCGGCAGCTCGGAGCTCACGGTGATCCCCAGCGTCTGCGCCGTGGCCGTGGCCGCGGCGGCGGGCACGGCCGCCGACCAGCTGCACCAGGACGGGATGGCGCTCACCACCGTGCGCAAGGCCGCCGGCGGGGGACCTGTGGGTGGGACTCTGAACGTGTGGAGGTTGGCGTGGCGCGTGAAGTCTTGGGGGCGCTGTCATAGTCTTTCTGTTTTCCTTTTTCGAGGTTGGCTCGGTTCGTGTGCTTGTTCTCACCTGAGACTCTCTGAAGAACACATCCCGGTCCTCATCCATCGCTTCGACCTGGTGCTTCTTTTGCCGCGCGCGAGTTCACGAAGCCCGGGGAACCCGGCTTGACAGGTCTTCCAGTCGGTGGGCTTCTTCGTGCCCTGTTTGATGCTGGGACTCTTGGCCTCGATGCAGGAGATCGAGCCGGGTTCTTTGATGCCCATCTTGTTGCTGACGGTCGGCATCGCCTCAGGTGGGAGCCTTCGGAAGCGAAGAAGGGCTCAAAAAAGCCATAGAGCGTGGGAGGTTGGGTTGGAGAAAGAAAAGCGGGTAACAAATAGGTTGCTTCTTGTTCTTTTTGGATGGTGGGTGGGAGGCGGTATTTTGTGACCTTGAGCCTTGGAGTGTCAAGAACTTTCAGGTCATGTAAAGTTACTTCACCTCCACGACAGACCTGAGCTTTTTGAGAAGCTCTACCTCCTGGAATGGTGGCAGGGTGCCAGGGTGCTTGCTGTTTTTACCTGGCACCGCCCGATCCAGGTGCCTGCTCCTACGCGGGTCTCTACTCCAGCCATGCTGATCTGAGTGCCAAGTACAGCGGCATCGTGAATGGCATCTCTACGACCTTTGGTGCGTTGGCTGGGGTTTGCAGCAACGCCTATGTTGGCTATGCTTTGAAGGCAGGAAGAGGGTTTCCAAACATTTTTGCTTGCCAGGGTCAGATGGCTGCAGTTTCAGACAGTTCTGCAGAGATCTGCAGAGCAGCTTTTCATAGCTTTTCGGGGTCGCTGTGCACGCGACAAAAACGAACTTTTAGACCATGGCCATGGCGCCAGTCCCAGAGCCCCTGAGTCTTTCAGGCCACGGATAGCTGGGCGCTCTCGCTCTTCGTGCCATCGATTTGTCGCTTGGGATGGAGCGAAGTCTTCGGGTGGAGGCGGGCGCGGAAGTCTTGGTGCTTTTGGTGCTGGGGCACCTGAACCTAAGGGGCTCCAGGCTGTGTTTTTTTTCAAGCTTGGGTACCCTTGACATCTTTTGAGCTCTCGTTCTTTGTTGGGATCTCAGGGCGCGAGGTTTGTTTGGAAGGACGGAGAGGACGGGATCCGAAGTGTCCCAGAGGCTCTCTCAGGGGCCGAAGGACGGGATCCGGGAGCCTCGAAACAGAATACGGGTCGAAAACGGGGCCCAGGTCATGTAGACTGTTGATGAATGCACACTCCCCCTTTCTAAATTTTCAGCATTTATCGAACTATTGTCACTCAACTTCTATGTCTTTCCGTTCAACGAGACGTGAAAGCGACGACACCAAGTCGGGGGGTTCAGATCGTGTGGTCTAAGACCACGACACCGAACTGACACGTCCTTGTGCAGTGCTCAGGTTTGTATCTGGTGGGCTGGGCAGTCTATGTCTGGCTCTATGACGCAACACCCATCGACTGGGACCAGGTGAAGGAAGAAGCAGAGCCTTCGTGAGGGGCAAGCCGTTTCGACCCTTTGAACTGGTCAAGTCGCTTTTCAGCACACTCATTCATGACCTGTTTTGGATGCCCTTCAGTAAGCCGAAAGGCCTGTTTCCCTCTTGACGAGTTCACGAAGCAGAGTCCAGCAGAGTGCTTTTGACACGCCTGAACTCACAGCCCTCACCTCGATTTTCCAGCCGAATCAGGTTGGCCCTCAACGACCAACGGAGTCCATCAAGGGACTTCAACATAGTTTTGTGTCGAAAATAGAGAGACCTCCCAGGCAATGACCCAGGCAAGGAAGAAGACACATAGACCAGTCTATGCAATGACCTCCTGGAAGATGATCTCCCTTGTTAAAACAGACATCGATTTGTGGCCACAAAGGGCAGTGGCTTCGGAGACAGTCAGGCGGCTTTCTTCACATCGGAACCTCCAGAGCAGAGCAGGTGTGTTCACACCGTTGTCTTACGTGTGGCTTTGGGCTCGAGAAGCGATTTAGATCACTGATATCTCACCAGATCAATAACACCTCTTTATGCACCTGCCCTCTCCAGAGGTTTTCCAACACAGCTTCATCCACTTCTCTGCTTTGCAGAGAGGATCGGATCTCGGCCGCAATTCGGAGCATCTGGGGGACGCCACGCCGAGATCCGAGCAAAACGATGCTTCGATCCCCAGATCCCCAAGCCTCCTGAGATCAGCGAAGCCTTCGAGGGGCGGAAGTCGCCCACGCGGGGGCTAGGATGGCCTTGCCATTGCGGGCCATGCTCCGGGCTAAGGTGGCAGACTCAGCGGGAGAGAACTGGATGGGAACACCACAATTCAAGATCTGAACCGACCATTCCGAATGAGTTTGGGTTTTTGTATGGTGCTAGTTCTCATGCGGCACCGGACGGCCGGACTTCACGTTGCTGCCGGCCGGGTCCTGGCCCACACCGGCACGCCCGGCTCCGCCGGGTGCCAGGCCAACTGGAGAACGGGGCCGTGGAGGATGTGTCGGTGCGAGGCCTTTGATGGGCGAAGGATGAAGGGCCTTTGATGGGTGGTTGGGGGAGTGCCTGTGGTGATTGAGTGGGGGGGTCAATCCTGTATGTGGTTCCCGGGAGAGGAGCTTACTTCGAGTTTGGAGTGTTTTTTGCATACCCTACTTCGCTTCGACATGCATCGTTTCAGCCAAAGCCGTGGGACCTCTCGAGGCTCTTTCTCGAAGCCTGGCTTTGGCACCTCGAAGCGTCTCCAGGCAGGGGACAGCGAACCGGCCGCAGCTTCTTCCAGGGGATCGAACGAACCCTCAGACGCGAACCCTGATGCGGAAGAGATCGAACCCTCTGGACTTGAGTCTTTCTGTGTTGATCCAGCAAAATGTCTTCGAAGAAGTTAGGGTCGAAGCGGGCTTCTGGTTCTGATCTTCATTCTCTTCACGACTGCCCATCGCCCGAAGCCTTGCGGCGACCAAGCCCTCGCGGTCTGCCGCAGTCGTTGCTACAGCGGCCCAAGCAAGCCAGAGGCGCGAGCCGGCAGGGCCGAAACAGGCGCTTTTTGTTTGAATCACTGTATACCAGGACCTTCCAACAGGTGGTTTTAGAAGCCTAACAGGTGGTTTCTGGGCACCTGTTGTCACCAGGAAACAGCTGTTGGAGGGTGCTGGTAGGGAATCTTAAATAATGCATGGATCTATGCCGAGGTGTCTTGGGGCCCCTGATCCAGATTGGTTGGGAATGACCCCAATTCCCCACTCATTTTGGGAAGCATGTAGAAAAATAGAGAGACCTCCCAGGCAACGACGCCCTGGACAATAGACCTGTCTACCCAAAGACTCCAGGGTGTCTCCGTAATTCGAAAGTCACACCTGGAGTCAGCCCTTCGAATCCTCTCGACGCCAAGCTTTGAAGCCGAGGCCACGCGAACCGACGAGGGCTCCAAGCTTCCGCGGCTTCGGCCCTCGTGTCACGTGCCGAGTGGTGCGAGCCCAGGCGGGTTGGGATGGTGTCGGTGTTGCGACGTGAAGAAAGTAACGGGGGAGACGGAGGCGGTTGGTGTCCCCAAGCACAGCGAGATGTTGGAGAGGTGGAGGCCATTTCCAGGTGGTGTAAATGAAACAACTTCTTAAAGGTACACAGACAACGCTGTGGGTCCAACATGGCTCCTTATTTGTGGGTCCAACGATGAGATGTGAGGCCATAGGTTCGGCGAGTGGGGTGGATCGGAGAGGGGGAACTGAGCATTGGACACACCCAAGATCCCATGGAATATGACCACTCCAAACCAACAGGCATTGTTGTTCTTTAAGACTCCCTATCAAGAGGTCTGTTCAGTTTTTCCATCACCACCCAATAATCATCGGTGTTGGTTTACCTTCGAACCGTCTGAACGGTCGCGCACCGATCGACGGGACGTTGCTCCGTCGGCCTTTCGCTCCTACTCGCCCTACTCGGCGTTGTGAAAGCTCCGAGGACTCGGAGCGATCCTGGAAACGAAACGAACCACTTGGATCCGGAGCGAGGTCACGAAAGCTAGCAGCAGCTAGCTGGAGTTGTCCTTGCTTTAGCAAGTGAGGGGCTGGAATCCTCGAGATCGCTCTGGATGCCGGAGCGAGGTCTGACATGCGCTGGCTGTTGGGACTCGTCAAAACGCTGGCTGTTGGGACTCGAGCGACGACCGCAGACCGAGTCGACTGCGGGGAAACACCTGCAGACCTTTTCGATCGGACCGATGCCCCTTTTGCTTCGCAGGCCACCGGAAGAAGGACCCGGGCGCGGTGCATCTGAAGACCCCCGCCGGGGGCGGCCATCCAAGCGTCATCGCGTCATCGCGTCGGGTGGGGACGTGGGGACCGATGCGTTTTGCGTTGCGGAGCGATGAGAAAACACCAGTGGCTGTGGGTGAACCTTCGGAGCCCAACTTGACTTGACGGGTTGACCTCCCTCCACGTTTCGACCCCTGCATGTCATGCAACTTGCAGATGCGAAACAACGTCTCGTTGTACGTTGTTTCGCCCGAACTTCCGGCCCAAGGCTGTGCAAGCTAGGAAGTGACCTGCAGCACAGACCACGGCCGACGGCCGATTCGCTTGCGGGTTTGGGGTGTGTTTGAGCTTTCATGGCAGCGGATCTTGTCGAGCTGCCATCCATCTTGCGCCCAAGGTGCAACAAGAAGCTTGGATTTATATGGATTTATAAAGGCTTTCTTTTTGTGACCATCTCATCTCAGTGGTTTTGTTGGTCGTCCCTTTCAGTCACCGTGTTTCGACCTCAGGAACCTGATCCGTCCCAAGAAGAGTGTGTCCTTTGAAGTGGGCGTGAAGAGTGAGGTGGAGCCTGTCCAGAAGGTTCCAACGACTTTGTGGTGGAAGGATGACAGCTTTCTGCAGCGGTTCTTGTGCCAGACCGGCTTGGCAGCGGAACGGCCCGAACAGTCCGGCAAGTCGAGGTTCCTGTACCCGTCCGAAACAATGCAAGGAGATCCGGAGTTAGCATGCGGCCTCTGGAACCACTTCGATGTATTTTGAAGATCTTCCGGCTTCCGGTTCAGGCCGCAGCCTGCTGTTAGCACCCTACAGGGCACGACAGGGTGCTGCGGTGCATCAGATGATGAGATGTAGTGATAACCCTTGCAACTTCTGCACTAAAAGACACGGGGGCTGTAGAAGTGGACGGCAGCTCTAAGAGCGTGCCAACACTCAAGAGTTGCCGCTTGATTTGACTGCATAGTGTCTGAAAGATTGTATTAATCGTGACAGATAGGCTAACACGCCTTTTATCCCATAGACTCATAGACATAGATTCATGACTGCTGCAAAAACGGAAAAGAGCCGACCAGCAGCTGATGCTTGAATGAAGAGGAGATGATTCACACCCCAAAAGAGGTGTTGCCTGGCCTCAACGGCGTTGTCCATCACTCCCACTTCTGTCCAATGCACCAGCACAGTGCTCCGGTGTACCGGCAGGATGCCCCGATAGAGCCTCTGATGGCGGATGCCAGGGAGGCCTAGCGCGGGCGGAGGAGGCCTCCCGTGGTGTCCACCGAACGGGTTCCCCGGCGTCAGGGGGGGGGGCTCTGAGGCTCGGATCTTCCTCATCGCGGGGGCGCTGCTCTGCTTCGGGGGGAGCCTCTACTCCGTCTATGTGCCTTGGTAGGTCAAGTGGTGAAAGGGCGTGGTGCAGGGGGGAGTGTAGTTTGGCACATGTTGCTTGGGTTTTCAAACTTGTAGAAGATTGTATAAGTGTGAAACCCGCAGAGCTTGGGCGAGGAAACACTGCACGCTGCGTTCTCTCACGGGTGGGATGGAGGAAGCTCCACGGCGCAGATCTGCGTGCAGCTTTGGCAGGGGGTATTGGATGTTTTTGTCCATGTCAATTCATGTCACACCTCCAAAAGGCGGCAATCTTCTTCAAAGCTGACCTTCAGTTCTGGGAATTCAAAGGGTTTTTGTGAGCTGAAGCACTAGCAGCTAGCAGCCACCGAGTTGATCTTTCTTCGGCACCTGAGGTGGCCGTGACTCACGACCCCAACCGCAAAGAGGATCGGCCAATCCTGAAGCGAGGGGAATACATAGGTGGTGCCAGCATCGTTGGGAGCCTGAGGACGTCGGTGGCGGGTTCTATGGGGTGGTTGAGTTGCTTGTTTATGGGAGAGTCTCCTTGTTATATACATGACATGGCTCTGCCCAAAAGTGGGCCGGGGTAGGAGCTCCTTTACAGACAGGAACATGTTCTTTATACACCCTGCCTGAAATCATCATGGAAAGTGGATGGCATGGCCCCGAACGAATGACCCTCTTCCTCCACAAACGGCCGGTGCCATCTACTTCCATGATTCTTTCCATTTCAGAGGGTGTATATAGATGCTCCCAATGTGGTTTTGGTCGCCCCGGCGAGTTGAACATCCACTCAGTGATCCACCCGAACCCGAACCTCCGCCACCTCGAGTGAGCTCCGGGAGCTGTGTTCTCGGTCGGCTCCGGCTTGGGTCGTGAGGGTTCTGGGTCGTGTGAGGTTGGCGCCCTGGTGATGACCTACGTGATCTTGAGAAGATGAGAGCGGAGATTCGCATCGCGTGACCAGCGGAGAAGAGCCAGCCCTGGAGATGGGGGTGGATTCGTGCCCGTGGAGCGAAAACGACGGGTTGAGCACGAAGCGCGAAGGAGGTAGGATGAGATTGAAGGAACCCTTGAAGGTTTCAGGCTGCTTTCCTTTTACCAGTGGGTGACCATCAACTTTGGTGTCGGTGTGTAGCTGCCAGGATGAGCGATCGTGATCAACTGATCGTTTTTCTCGGCGGTGCAGGGGTTGCCCAGAGGCGAGTCCAAATTGTGCGCTGGGAGAAAAAGAGAGATGAGCGGGAGTGGAATACTTGATGGAATATCTCGCGAGTCGGGGACGGCAAGGCTGCCGCGGCGATGATGGCGACTGTTATTACGAGGAGGATGACGACGACTACTCCAACCAGTGCTACTGCTACTCCTGCGACTACTGCCACTACTGCTTCTACTGCTGCTACTACTGCTACAACAACAACAACAACTGCTGCTGCTGCTGCTTGCTACTGGCTGCTGGCTACTGGCTACTGGCTACTGGCCACTGGCTACTGGTACTACTACTACTACTACTACTACTACTCCTCCTCCTGCTGCTGCTGCTGCTGCTGCTGCTGCTGCTGCTGCTGGCTACTGGCTACTGGCTACTGGCTACTAGATACTAAAACTACTACATACTACTACATACTACTACTTACTCCTACTCCTACTCCTACTCCTACTACTACTACAACTACTACTACTACTACTACTACTCCTACTACTACTACTACTACTACTACTACTACGACTACGACTACGACTACGACTACGACTACGACTACGACTACTACTACTACTACTACTACTACTACTACTAGTACTATCGGATTGTGTGCTAGTACAGTAGTGTTTGCTCTAGTACTTTCGTTTAGTGGAGACGTTGCAAGACCCGCGAGGGAGGTCTCAGGAGCCTTCTGACCTGAAGTCAGATATCAGTTTTCAGCTGATGCAAGCTAGGGGATAGCCCAGCTCTGCAAAGAAACCCTGCATACTAATGAAGGACTTTGATTTGTTGGTGTATCAGAAGAGGGGCAAAGCACATGTGCATACCTAGCTCAAAAACACACGTCATGATGTATCTGAAGATCCTAAGCTGGTAGCAGAAAGGTCCATCAGTTCACTGAATGGATCCGTGCTCTCCGTGTATGGCTGGTGCGCTTCCGATGGCTGGCACGGGACCCCAGAATGTCCCGTGGGCCACCCCACGATCCAGCCAAGGACCCTATAAGATTCGACCCTGACAGACAGTTCCTGGACCAACCCCTGCAGTGAAGATGCCCCAAGACGCACCACAGCCCCACAGCAAGGCTTTTTGAATTTCTGCTTAGAAGGTTGTTTTTGGGTTTACCTTTCTGCCACATGATTGTCGGTGAACAGTTTATTGGAGTACAGTACATTTAAAAAACATGTGTAAAGGGCCTTAAAGGGCATTCAAATTCTTTGCTGGGTGGTGCTTTGTATGGGGACCTCAGAAAAGGCTTGATCGGTTGATCTTCCATTGGTGAAAACGGTGCCAGGGCGCCGCTCAACAGTCATGAGCGCTCCGCCCAGGTCCACCATCGCCGCGGTGCTTCGAAGGTCCTCGATGAGCAAAGTTGAGGCGAAAACGGCCAGACGATCGGGGCGGGCGGACTTGGGCTCGGGCGACGGCGGGTCTTTCCCCCGCTCCACGTGAAACGCGTCGGTGGTGCTTTGGTGGACCCGAAATCAGTGTTTCCACTTTGGTTTCCTCCACAGTGCTATGAAGCCGGTGGATTTTCAAGAAGGATCATTTGCACTGGCCATTGACCGTAGTGCTACAGAGTGCCAAAGATCAAGTCACTACTGCTTGACCATTTGCAGATCTGGTAGAGCCAGGGATGGTGGGGCAGCCAGGGGGTTGGGGGATGTCGGGGATGCCGACTTGAAATCCCCACTGGCTAAGCTCAGCCACTTGGAGAGGAATCTCTTTCGGTGGTTGGGCTTCCGGAAAGGTCGCAGGAAGGCGCCTCCTTCGATTGACCGTGGTGCTGGGGGGGGCCCCCCTAGGTGCTCAGTGGCGACCTCCTATGGTGGCGGCCTTCTCTGCCGGGTCATCGGTGCAGGACTTCGGTGGTGAGTGGTTTCAATGGTCGGGTGGGAGTGGCTTCAACCGGTGGTTTGACCAAACCCAGAAATGAGAGGAGTGGTGAGTGGTTTCCAAGGATGCTGGCTTTCAAAACTGTTTCTTTTGGAGGTTCGAGGATGTTAATGTTACAGGTTTTCCTAGGTCCTGGATAATAGAGTGGAGTTGGAGTAAGCATGCCACCCCGACCCCCTCACACCCTAGAATTTTTTAGAGTAGGTCCAACTTGGATGAATATATCGTTGCAGATGAGATGAAACTGTGCTGAGGAGCAGTTTCCATGGTCAGCCGGGCTATGAGCATGGCTGGGAAGGTGGAAGCTGGAGCAACCACGGCCACCATGGAGATGGTCACCACGGCCGCCATGAGCCCCATGGACATCATGGCCATGGCCACCAAGGTGGCCACCAAGGTGGCTACCACGGTGACTACCAGGGTGGCTACCACGGTGACTACCAGGGTGGCTACCACGGTGGCTACCAGGATGGCTACCAGGGTG